AATATGTTTGCTAGGTGACCCTTTCACTCACAAACACCCATCCATATATGCAGGTTCACCATAATCATGTACACATACTCCCCTCTTCGATTTAGACAAAATGAATAAGGTTCTCAAAATCCTTACACTCTTTACACTCCTTCCAAATTTCCCTCTTCACTCACTCACTTTGTTTTGTCCACTTTCTTATTTTAATTTATTTATTATTTTCTCAAATTTTACCAATTAAGATCCAATTCACTCCTATAATCTTTTTCAAATTTATTAAAATTCTTGATCTTATTTTTTTTTTATTTGACTCAATTTCTTTGTTTTTCTTACTATTTTATTTTATAATTATAATTATTCAAATTTTCTTTTATTCTATTTGTTTTCTTTCTTTTCTTTCTTTCCTTCACCATTTTCCCTTTTCTTATATTTTCTTTTCACTCTTTAAAGTTCCAATTCCAAAAAAATTTCACTTGTAACACAGTCAAGCAGCAAACAGGGTAAAATGAGGCCATCACCAAAGCAAAATCAAGTGCTCCCAAACTCATTCCTAACAGTTCTTACTGCCTGGAAGGTGTTCAAGTTCTGTCTTCTATCGGTGTATTAATCAAGAACCTGTTCTATGAATCAATAATATGCATGCATTGAATTCAAAATCCCAAACTCAGGTTCAAAATACGGGATACTTACAAAACTTCTTCGCACAAATCGTCCTCAAGGCTCGTTTAACAGCTTAGAATCACTACACACACGCATAATCAAATTTACTTTAACGAAAATGAGTTATAACCTAAAAAGAAAATATTAGCAGTCACGGGTTTTGGGTAATTTACCAAAGGGAACAGAAACGAAACTGTTCTTCGAACGCCGGCGTCTCCGCAACGTTTCCTTTCTTCTCCGGCCGCGTTGTCTCTCCCTCTCACTTTCGGCTCTTTTCAAAATGAATGGAAACCCTAAATGAGTTTTTTCTTAAATACCCATTTTTCTAATCGTTCGATCCCATCAAATTGAATCTGGACCGTTTGATTTGCCTATTCATATCTATCGTTGATCCAGCCAGGAATGCCCCGAGACCGTCGGATTTGTCCCACGTTTGAGAGCCGTTGGATCGACTTCTAAGTGGTCCAATATTGGCCGTTCATTCCCTGAATTTGCCACCTGTCTCATATATTTAATATTTAGGTTTTGGCCTCTCCTTTAAATTTATAAAGAACCTCTAATTTCTGAAACTTCCTTCAATTAAAACCTCAAAGTCTTCATTTAATTAATTTTATGTTTAAATTTTAATTTCTTCATATCTATTTAATTATTTACAACCCTTTTGAATTATATTAACCCATAATTTGATAGAAAATATTTTAATATATCATTTATGTCTATTTCTTTGAAAGGTAAGTAAAATATTTATTAAATATATGAGGATAAATTCTTGTACAGCTCACAGCCATATTATATAGATTAGATGCATATATATATATATATCAATTGTAAGCGGTGAACGTATTTTCTTGTTGAGAATATACAGACCAGCATTAATGCATCGTAACAATCGAAAACTGGTTGGTGAGAGGGAGGAACAAAACAATAGTACAAGCTATTTGTCAAAGACATTTGCATTAGAATATTCAGCTTCCAAACAAAGTGTTTCTTTAAACTTAACTTTCTCATTGGAAGCATGAGGTTGGCTTATACATTAAAAAAAAAGGACTATAGACAAGGAAATAGCTTACCTGAATAAATAAATGAATTTTATGGTCAACAATTCATATATATTTTTAACTTTCATTATATTAACGAACCCAATAATGCAATTTGTTCAATTATGCAAGTAATGATCTATTAAACTGAGTATACAACTTTGGCGGAAATGCTCCATTTGCACATCTGTGAAAGGCATCTCACTTCTTAGGAAGAACGACGTATGCGTATGAAGGCAGCGTACAAGAAGATAATTTCCTCAATGATTTTAAAGTTGAAGATGGATCTCAACCTTGAGGTATAATTATCATCATTTCTATAGTTATTAGCTTAATTTTAACAAAAGCTAGCAGCTTTATCTGTCAAATTGTTAGCCCTTCGATTTAGGATTCATGCCTTGTATTTCTTATGTTCTAGAATTGGTTTTTAGCAGATGTTGAAAACTAATATAAAGTTCATTAATCTTTTAGAGAAGTAAATTAAAGTCTGTTTACAGAAAAATTGAAAAACACATAGTTAGAAGAGGAAAATTACTTCATTTTGAATGGAACCAGACCTTTTGTGTCTGGGTTTCTGGTCTCCTAACCGTAGTTCTTATTGTTTCTACAAAGTTGTAAGCATCAGAAGTCAAAGGATGTGGCAGGTTGGGGTATGGGGTTGAAGATCCGGGAGGCCTGGAGTTTGACGAAGTCAGCCATTTGGAAATTCAGGTACTTAATTGTCATTTTACATATTCAACCCACAAGTAAAAGCTTAAAACTAATGAGTCAGAAACAAAGTTACAGCCATAAAAAGTAACAATAATTAGAGTTAATTCGGCCGCTAATATCCAGAAAGCCTTTTTTTGGAGCCCATAACAGAAATTATTAAAAAGCTTCTATTTCATAAGAGACCAGTAGCAGTACGTTCAATTAACTTGTCTTGGGCCGGCTTGAATTAAGAACTTCGTCTGTTCGGCCAGAAAATAGAGATTGATCGTTTTTCCTCTCTCTTACAATGCTTTCTTGTAACGTAATTATAAACGCAGCGCTTCTTGCGGCAAAACCCTATCATGTCCTACTAGAGACATCTCCCTCTCTAGCTTTCCAAAAGAAAACCCTTAATTATCAATATCTGAGATGGATAACCTTACGATGTTTTACCCTTTCTCCAGCAAAATCCTAGGCCTTGTTTTCTCCGTCTTCCATGTTCTAAATCGTACTGAAAGCTTGAAGCTGATTCTTCCTGTTGTTAGGTACGGAGAACTGGTATTTCAGGTGGAGGAAATATTTGAGCATAACCAGCGGTTGTGTTTCATCCTTTTGAGTTGGCGGGAGAGAGGAGGAGGTCATTGGAAGATCTTGAAGACTTCTCTGAGGTTGCCGGAAGCTCCCTTTATTCCGGAAATGGTCGCTGGCTTCATTTCTTTGTTTCTTTTCTTCCTCCGACGAATTAGAAACTTACGGCTCACACTTCCTTTGGGCAAAGGTCTCACACTTTTCGTTCGAATAGAAAACATCTCTGACCCCAACCTCCGGAATACGAACTTACATGCTATACAGATAGGAACCAGAAGCCAAACAGGATATTATCTCTTCTTCAAGGCTCGGTTCAAATAGCCCATATATATACACACACGCAGAGAAACAAGTAACTATGTCATATGAAATTGGAATCACATCTATATCTGCTTATCTTTTTGCTTTTTTTTTTTTTGTCTACTGCCTGCTCCTTTCTATTTTGGTTCTTTAATACTACGAGTCATACATGCATATCTGTTGATTGTGGAATATTTTCTTTAACCATAGGTATCAAAGGAATTTTCGTCGGATGCAAGCAATGCGAAACAGTAATTAGGGTTTTGATATATCTTTGGGACATATATTTTGGAACATATACTTGCTACCCATTTGGTTCATAATTTCCTATTCAGTTCCTAAGTAAATTAATTCATCCAAGCTGCCAATGGTCTTGGATGCTAAGTTTGTTTTTGGGATTCTATTCTTTGTTCAATGTGGAAACCTTCTTGATGGAGATTTTGATGACTGACATCTTTCTCCTCAGCTTACTCGTAGATTTATTTATCAAGTTCAAACGTTTGCACCTGTCTACAGAATTTTCATCCTTGCTGGAAATTTTCCGGCTTCTCGTCACTCCAAGAATTGAAGTAAGTTTTTATAAGTGACAATTAAACTTTTCATCCCTATAAACATGGCACTGTGGACACTGCAACTTCCTGTTTCTCAGGCCTCTTGAGTCTTTTATTTCCTAATTCACTGCATGTCTGTGAATTGTTGTTGATGTTGTATGTATTTTTAAGAGTTTTTCTCTAGCTGTTCTTAGTTTTCAAAACTCTTATAATTTGTTCATGCATTTTAATTTTTACTGCGTACCTTATTAGGTTCATAATCGTAAGATGTTTGTTGTCGAATTTTGTAATATTAATTTTCATTTCTTAATGTAATATCTTTATTTTAAAAGAAACTAACTAATTTATAAGATTAGCCTTGATATGCATGCATGATTGACAGCTTGATTTTTTTTGTTTAAGCAACCTCCATCTCCAATGAATTTATGAACTAGAAATTAATGGAATAACCTAAATGCGAAGTTTAAACTAGAAATTACTTAGAAAATACATGATGAAATAGACTAAATTACATTTGGTTGAAAATAGATAAATTAAGTGTAGGATTGGATGGAACGTTAACATTTTCAAACCTGTAAATATGGATTTACAGATTATTTCTATACTTTTTCTAATTTGTATAATTTATTTGTTTCAAACTCTGCATGGACAACCCAATCTTGATTAGGGTTTGGTTCTGAGTTAGAAATGTTTTGTAAAAGTAGTCATTATGAGTATTATGTAGTGCTACATGATGTTTGTATTAATTGGTACTCCTTATAAGCTTATTTTAATTACTTTGTTCCTAAATTAGCATAACATGTGATATGGCAATGTTTTTGAATTTTGATCATTATTGGGAAAGACAGGTTTGTTTTGTACATTAGTAGTGGCAAATATATATAACTTGAATTACATAATTATATTTCGGGCAAATTTAAAAATGAACGTTTATATATGTATATATATTAAAGAAAAGTGTACACATATATATTTCCCTATTTTTTGATGGAGCTTCTTTTTTGCGTATTTATTATTATTAATATTTAATTTAATGATAGTTTCTTTAGGTTTTAGTAATGATGTTTATTTTTATATTATTAGTGGATGGAAATGGTGTAATGAGGATATGAAGTTAGCATTGCTTGTATGGTTATGTTACTCTTTACGTGTGAAATTATGGATGGACAAAACAGGTTTGTGTTGGTACAAAAACTTTGATAATTTGTCGAGAGACCTCTTAAAGGAAAATAGTAAATGAAGACATTAATTAATATTCCTTTTTATTTGTTTTAGGTTTTAGTTTAGTTTCTATTTTGGTGTATTTTAAATCCTTTAGATTTATAAATTATATAATAAATTAAGGATGATAAGTTGGCCATGTTACACACATCATATTTGAGAATAATAATAAATATAGTAATATTAGAGATGAAAATTTAAATAATAAATAAATAAATAATTATAAAAGTCATCATAAATTACAATAAAATTAATTAAAAATAGTTAATATATTTGTTAATCACAATTAATTAAGATACATTAGGAGATAGATGTCTAATATTTTCTTAATTTATAAAAATTTTGAACTTAAAATTTCTAAATTTTAACTTATAAATCACTCTTTATTTAATATATAATCACGTTTCTAATATGATCGATAATAATTTCAAATTTTAAATTTTATATTTTTACATAATATTTATCGTTGCATCACCAACGTGACAATATATATATATATATATATATATATAAATTATATGAGAAAATATGTTTTTTTAGTATAAATCTAAGATTTCCACTATATATGTAAGAAGTAAACTTCATTTTTGGTCAAAATTCAAATTAATAGCCATATAACAAGTCAAGTTAATATAGGAAGGAAGAAAGTGATACAATAAGTTTATAAGGAAAAATACCAATTACAAACATCAATATAACACTATTATATATTTTTTTAAACTCATTTCCTACTCTTAGTATCATTTCAATAATCTAATACTAATCAAAACTGCATCACATATTTATTAATTAATTATACAGATAAAAAATGTAAAAAAAATATGTAAATCCATATTTATTAAAAATATGAACTTTCTAATCAATTCTATATTTTTTAAAATTCATGTA